GACTTTTGTTGTGATTTGGCGCTATATAAATAAAATTGAATTGAATTGAATTAAAAAACAGGGTGATTTCAGCTGCATCTACATATACACAGAAGTATTTTACTTCTTTATGATTAATAAATTATCTGCAATTTTCCCACTGCAAAGCCAACCACGGTCTCCAGGTTCTGGCCCCAGTGGAAGGCTTTTGTTTTGTCGACCATACTTGTGTATAAGAAAACGTCACTCAAGCATAAGTAAATAGTGCTTTTGTTGGAGATTACGTCAGACAGTACAAATCTGATTTGCAACACTGTGCCAGTTTTTTGTGTTTTGCTCAAATGTGCAAAAAAAAAAAAGGGATAAATACCTGTTTTAATGTGTCGAAGCAGAAATAAGAAGGGTCGGTCCGCCTTGAAAACGGGAGCGCGGGATCTTTTGAGTAGCACCATAGCTGTGTGAGTAAAGAGTGCGTTTTAACAACCTTATATGATAAGCACTCGTTTCTGTTCCACTATTGTAGCAGACGTTACTCACCGGTAGCAGCAGCTGCCTTTGTTCCATCCTCTGTGACTTCTATTCTTACTTCATGGAAGGCATCAGACACATAAAGACCCTCCTCTGCTGCAGGGAGTAAAAAATATTGAGCAGCCGTTTGCATGAAACATACAAAAAAGCTTTTGAAACAGGTATTTTGAACGTACAAGCTGACCTGATACTCCAGTGAAGTCAGCTGCTGTCGGGTTAAAAGCGTCACTGACGCCCAGAGCAGGAAGCACCGACCTCAGGTTGAATTTGTTCTGCATTTTAAATCTGCAAATACCAGACGGAGACTATGTAATCTGCTGTTTTATTTCTCGTTTTTTCTAAACGAAACCTGAAGATGGTTTTCAAGCACAAAAGTCTGTGATCTGCTGCACCTCGGCAGGAAGATGTCCATTTTGGTTCTCCGCAGGCCGCCGTCCCAGGATGCCAGCTGGCGTGCGGTGAGCTGGGCCTCGAGGGAGGACAGCGGAGTCTTCCTCTCGCTGGGAAGGACCACCTGCAGACTCAGGGAGCGGCCCAGGTACGGCAGCTGCAACACGGTGTAGCGCTGTTCTGACGCTGTCCTGAATTGACCTGCCAGAGAGGTGAACAAGTTCAAGTGTTTTGTTTACAGTTTCCATCAGATCTTTTGGTCATTACATGCTTTGTTTAGCTACACATACACATACATAGAAATAAGTTATTTTTTAACTAAAGCTTTTATTAATAATATCAAATCTGACGGGTTGAGTGCAATGATAGCAAATGATTGATGATGAAGTTCTTCACTTCCTTTAAAGTACACGATGGAAAAGGTTCTCATGAAAACAGATACGGGGCAAAGCATGAAACAAGCAATCCAAGTGATGATCGGGACTGCAAATGTTCCAAATGTTAAAAGACGTTTGGTCATCAGGAAACTCCTGAGGGGACTTTTAAGATGAGTTTCACCAAACTGCAGTGGTGTTTTGTCTTAGATGCGATTATAATTATAGCAGCAACAGCACTTTTTCAAATTTCTATCAGCAGACCACATGGGAACCAGTTGTAAACAAAACACTGATATATTAGCCCCTCATTAAGGTTTAGCTTTTAAATGCATCTGCACCTGGAAACATTGTGGGTAGATAAGAGAGTGGGTGGGATCTGAAGCCTGTAAGTGTCAGTGAAACATCGCCTCTTACCAAAGCTGACCTCTGCAGCCTGATACATCATGGGCACCTTGATCACATTCCCATCTGAGAGCACAAACGGCAGATTCTGGGTGTTGGTGAACATGAACTGCTTCTGCCAGACGCCCTTGAAGGCCACTGTGTTGACCAGGGCCACCTGCGGCCGGTGTCCCCACCACAGAGCCTCTGCTTGGGCCTCGCCCGAGCCTGACAGCTCACCGCTGACGCTTCCTGCCAGGAGATGCCATGACTCATCTGAAACGCACAACCGAAGGTCAATGTACAGACCACCTGACCTACAGGCCATGTAGCAGATAACATGTTAAAATGTTTGAAAATGGGTTAGAAATTCATGTTTTTTCTCAAAGAAACCTGTGCTTTGAAAATTGGAATTAAAACTGCTTTAATATATTTTCTAACACCAGGGGGCAGAGGAACGCCACAAGCTAAAATAATATCTCTTATGTTTTTATTGCCAACATATTAGGAAGCCGCTGCCCAGCAGAAAAGGATTGTCATCATCTCAGTGATGTCGAGTTTTAGTTTGCTGTTGTGTGGTCAGTGTGAGAGGACTTGATCTAAGTGTGCTTTCACAAACAGGATGTGCATTAAACCAAAGCGCTCTGAAAATCTCCACATCAATGTTTATTTTACTGCAGGATCCATGCCACCCTGATCTGTGTCAGCATAAGAGTAAAAGTTAGCGGGAGCTCTGTCTGGGTTACCTTGCTGGTGTCCCGCTCGCTCCGGTTGGCTGTGGGTTTGATTGGGCTGGCTGAAGTTGGCTCGGACCACGCTGGTGTTGGCCCACTCTGATGCAAGCTGTGTGAACCCAGGCAGGAGCTGAACACCACTCTGGATGAATAATGTGCAGGTCTGCTGCAGCCACATCCCCTGGCTGTTGTTGTTCATGTTGGCCTGGGAGTGCGACAGGAAGTCTTGTACGTGGGCATCTGCCGAAAAGGAAGACACAGATGTTTTTTCTACCCAGCTGTTGTCAACTACAGCCAGATGAGTTAGTTAGTTAGTTAAAATGATCTATAAACAAGTCAAACACCGCTTTTCAGCGCTTGCTCTGAAAAGAAACCCTTCTGGAAACACGTCTTGGAATTCGAGCACCTTATTTGTGCACCTGTTATTGAAGCTTTTCATGAACTGTCACTGCAGTGGTCACAATGGCATAAAGATATGCATGTATGGAATCACAGCTCTGGGGATTATAGCTACAGCTATCTTTGCCTTGAATTCTCCCACTGATTTTCATTCAGGATTCTTTGATGACCATGTGTTTCGGTGTCGTGGAAATCCTTTTTATTTCATGATGGAAGCTAAATTAGAGCCTAAAGTCATCACTAGGACGAGGTGGAGATAAATCCCCAGGTGTAATTTTCATTTTGTTTGTAAATTAAACACCTAACCTCTTGACCCAAAGGCCGAGCTGAAGAAGTTGTTAATGAGATTAGAGTTGGTGTAGAGGCAGGTATTATGGCTCCAGACACCACTGTGCTCTGCAGGGCGAACAGCAGCAGGAGCACTGCTCCACACCACCTGGTACCAACAGCACTGAGGGCCACCCTCTCTCAGCCTCTTTCACACAGCATAAGGAGCCTCTAATGCCACCTGGATAAAAACTTACATTTCCATTCCTATATTTAAAAATGTTAAAAAAGGAAATATCAGAAACCTACCATTCACATTGTAGCCCAGTGTTCCCTCCAGCTGAGCAAGTGTGTTGCCCCTGGCGCCAAGCTGCAGGAGCGCGAGAGACAAGGAGACGCTAACTGGCGACACGATCAAGTTGGAGTTGTCCTCCGTCTCTGTGAGAGTCCGGTAGAGGCTGATGGCGAACCTGGTGTGCAGCTCCCTCATGCTGTCCTGAAGGCTGTTGTTGCAGTAGCTTCTCTCCACCAACCAGAAGCAAATGATGAGTGAGGCCACTGGCAGCCGACACATCTCCTCAGTGCTGCACGAGAGGATGTGTCCACAGGGTGCGACACGCAGACAAAAACACAAAATTCTGGAAGATGAAAAAAAAAAGAATTGCAGCAATGAAATCAAGCAACATGCAACTATTTAAGGGTTTTATGTTTTATAGGAATGAGTGGGACACATTTTAACCACTCTATCCATCCCAGACAGGTGGATCCGCTGGGATTCCTGCATCCTGCTTGTGGATCACTCAGTTATCAAATGTGGGAGCCTGCAACGAGCTGGCATACAGCAAAGCAGACCTGCACCACTCAAAAAGGGAAGCTTTAATGTTACCTTTTCATGATGCTCAGTGTAGTACTTTCTCCATATAAGGGTAAGCAGATTTGGCCTATCCTGAGTGAAAAGCTGTTTCTGGCAAGCTGCCACAATAAAATGATTTTCACATGTTAATACATGACTACAAATGATAACGAAACTCTGTTTAGTTAATGTAGGATTAATACTGCAGATTTCTCTCAAATAAAAAGTAAGGTTTTAAATTTAGGACATTCCTTTTATTTGGAGATCAAGGTGTTGAAATGCATCTTTCTCTAAGAGGTAAAGGTAAAATATGTCAGTGCTGCATTTTTAAGGTACGGCTCAATGCATTTAACATGATAGTTTTCTGTTGTGATGATAACTATCGGTGCAGCTGTGTGTCGTACCTGCGGACAGGTGAGGTAGTTTCCGTTCAACTGTTCTCTGACTGGACACAGACCATTCAGCCTCTGCAGCGGACCTGTGTCCTGTCTGTCCCCTGCCGTCAGTCACTGTCCCCCGGCTTCCTGTCAGTGGAGTAACCCGTCTTCTGCTCTCGGCTGTCAGCCTCTGGTTCAGTCTGAAGCGGTCTGTAGTCATAAGACCGTGTTTAAAGGGGAACGCTCCGCTCCGTGTTTGCGGTCTCCGTCGGCGATGTCCGTACCACTCGTCCGGGATTCCTACCTCCGCGGGGCTATAAGGAGCCAGGCGGAGGGAGGCATGTCACCGACCAGCAAATCCCAAACCAGGCAGAGAGGGGAAAAAACACCCGCACACGAGTGCACAGAGGGGCAGGCATGCATCTGAAAATGCTACTGTGGAGACTCCTAATTGGTTACTACTAATAAAAGTCAAACACATTGAGGGATAAACCGTTAAAAAATGTATCATAAATAAGCTGGAGGCGAAACAACAGGCTGTTTAAAGCATGTGTGTTACGAATAGTTCAGCATTTTGGGAAATTAAAGTATTTATTTGAGTTATTAGTTCTTATATTAGTAGTTAACATTGATAGCTTTCATATTTGCCCTTTAGCTTAGCTTAGCATAACTGGTACAATAAACAGCTAGC